AACAACGTACCAGAAGAAGCAAAGAAACTTAAAGATATTTTAAACAGTAATGTATCTAATACAATCAAATTCCTTAAGGACATACGTTTACTACACAAAATTTAAGTTATATGTATCTCTTTGTAATTTGTAATTTATTATGTGTAATTTGTAATAACAATTTGTAATAACAACTGTAAAATCTTTAAAACCCGCTAATAACCTTTAATGGTTGATGCGGAAATTCTAAATAAAAAAAAAAAAAAAGTGATGGAGTTTAAATATACGTTTAAATATATAACATATATATCTCCATAAACAATATGGAGAAATAAAAATATCGGAAACGAATGAAAGGCAGAATCTACAAAACAGTTCTCAGACCAATAATGACATACGCGGCAGAAATATGACCTTACGCAGAGGGGACAAAAAGGATGTTAGAAACAGCAAAGATAAAAACTCTTGGATAAAAATGGATAGTAAGACACTATGGGGTAGAGCTAGAAGTACAGATATTTGACGTAGATACAAGGTAGAGAACATCAAGAACTGAGTAAGAAATAGAAGAGTAGAATGGAATGATCATCATCATTATCATAATTTTGGCTTTACAACCCTGTGTGGGTTCTAGCCTCCCCAAGAATTCTCTTGAAGTCGTCCTTATCCATCGCCTTCTACCGCCAAGCACGTATTTTCATATTTCTCATATCTTTGTCTATGTTATCTAGGATTCTTGTTCTGGGTCTTTCTCTTCTTATTTGACCAATAGGTCTATCAAGGAGCGTTTTTATAGCTGGGTCGGTTTGTTCCATCCGCATTACATGGCCTACCCACCCCTGACGTCCTATCTTAATGTGTTTTGCGATATCTGGTTCCTGGTTTATTTTATAGAGTTCGAAGTTGTATCGTCTTCTCCAGACACCATTTTTATTTACCGCTCCATAGATTCGCCTTGGTATTTTTCTTTCGAAACATCCTAACATGTTTTCATTTCTTTCTATCAAATTCCAGTTTTCTAAATCATATGTTAGGACTGGGCGTATTATTGTTTTGTAGAGTTTTACTTTTGTATTTCTTGATATAACGGTAGATTTATTAAGGAGATTAAGCCCAAAATAGCATCTATTAGCCGTGCAAATCCTGCCGTGTATCTCTGCGGTAGTGTCATTTTCACTATTGACGAGCATTTCCAGGTATACAAATTCGTTTACTGCTTCAATCAGGAGAGTGGTTCTCCCTGACGTAGCCCGTTATTTGTATTAAAAGGTTCAGAGAGTTCCCCCTGGGTTCGTACTCTGCATTTAACTTTGTCAAGGGTTAGTTTGGTTAGGCTTACCAACTGATTTGGTACTCCTAGGTCTATCATTGCTCTAAACAATTTTTTTCTATTTACAGAGTCGTAGGCTGCCTTGTAGTCTATAAATATGTGGTGCGTGTCTACACCGTATTCCAGTCTTTTCTCTAGAAATTGTTTCAGGGTTGAAATGATTTGTTGATTTACCACCACTGAAACCAGACCGGTATTGTCCTCTTATTTGCTCTGCATACGGTGTCATACGATGGCATAGTATATTGGAGAATATTTTATACGCTGCATTTAGGAGCGTAATTCCTCAATAGTGAGAGCATTCAAAGATATCTCCCTTTTTGTGTATGGTGCAAAGTATTCCAATATTCCAATCATTGGGAAGAGACTTCTGTATCCATATTTCTTTTATAAGCTGCTGTAGCTCTATTATGATATCGTGGTCACCTTCTTTATATAATTCCCCTGCGAGACTATCTATTCCGGGTGATTTGTTTCTGGCTAGTTTGTTTACAGCGTCTTTAACTTCCAGGATCGTTGGTGGATTCTCCTCCCTCTCGTCTGCTTCGCTTATCTCACAGCTTTCGTCTTCCGCGTTTCTTTCTTCTTTCTCTATATTAATTATCTGATTAAAATATTCCGTCCATCGATTTAGTATGTCTGTTCTTGTTGTTAATGGATCGCCATTTAAACTTCTACATTTATTTGTGTTTGCCTTGAGTTCTTTTCTGTTGATGTTAACTTTCTTATAGAATGTTCTGAATTCTTTCTCTCTGTTCAGGTTTTCTATATATTGAAGTTGCTTTTTTTAAGTGGTTTCTTTTCTTCAGTCTGTGTATTTTCATTTATTTTCTTCTCTTTGTATGGTAATTCTCTACACTAGTTCTAGTTCGGCGGGTAAGCATTTTTGCATAAGCTTTATTTTTTTCTGTGTTGCGTCTTTGGATTCATCGTCAAACCAGTACTTTTTTTCGGGTACAAGTTTCTTTTCTCATTGCATCTTGTGCTGCTGACTCAATATTTTTCTTTATCGTGTTTCAGTAGGAGTCTATACCTCTCTAGTTTTCTTCGCTTGGACTTTGATTTCTTAACCTTATGTTAATATTTTCCCAGTACTGTTTTGCAGCAGTTGGATTCCTCAGCTTCTGTACATTTAATTTCTTTGTATGTATTTTTTTTTCTTTGCTGGAATTTGAAATTCTAGCCCTTAGTGTTGGGATCACTAAACAGTTGTCTGAGAGTGGGCCTCTATAACTTCTGCAGTTCATTATGTTCGTTCCATGTCTTGAATCTATTAAGATGTGATCAACCTGACTAGTTGTTTTTCCATCAGGGGAGATCCAAGTTACCTTGTGTATATTCTTATGTTCAAAATAGGTGCTAGCGACGGTCATGTTCAGTGCTGCTGCTAAGTTTATCAGTCGTAATCCATTATCGCTACTGATGTTGTGTAGGCTATACCTGCCTATAGTTGGCATAAAAACTCGCTCTCGTCCTATTCTTGCATTCATATCACCTAGAACTGGACCAAGAATGAAATGATCATATAAGCCAAATGACAACAAATAGATAATTAAAGGCAAAAGACGGTTCCCCAATAAGAAGACAATCAGTAGGAAAACCACGAAAACGATGGAACGACAACTTACCAGAAGGACATTGAAAAACAGACAGAGTCATGTCTACATAAAAAGAAAAAGAAGAAGAGAAGAATTTTATAAATGCAAAAAACGTAATATAAAGCTCTGTGCCAGTCTACAGTACCACCCACTGTTTCACATGTTTAATTTGTAGAGCAAGCCTCTGCGTCAGATTTTACCAAATGCTTGGGACATGATTTTTTTCAAAACTTTTTTGAATATTCATTTATTACTCTATATACTTGTTGGCTAGTAAAGTAATTTTTCCGACAACCAAGTCTTTTATCTTAAAAAAGAGCTCCGTGTTTTTTTTTTGTTTCGTTATCTGCTACTGTCTGTCCATTGCCTCTAATTAGTTTATTTTCGTGCCTAATTCTGTAGGTTCCAGTGATTTCTCTAACCTTCTTCATTATTAACTAAAGTATTTCTTTGGTTAGCCAGTTCCTGTTTCTCAGTGAAAATAGATTACTGTTGTATCTAATTTAGCTCTGTTTACATTATTTTTGATTTTAAGTTGGTGTTTCAGAGTTCTGAATTCAGCAACAACTAAGTTGTGACCAGCAGCTTCGTCAATATCTGGACAATTCTTTGTAAATTTAATAGAACTTCTGTATTTTCTTCCTATCGTCCTATATATTGGCATATGATCTGCGATAAGACTATGGTTCTAAATACTAAAAAAAAAATAAGCTTTCACTTTTCAAATTAACGCAAAAGGAAATATGAAGAATGATCAGAGGACAAAGAAAAGAGATGGACGAACTAATAAAAACGAAACACATTCAGAAGGAAACGTGGGTAGACGTGTCTATGGGTAACTACTTTCGATCCCTATTTGCTAAATGGGACGATACTGAACCACTAACACTGAAGGTGACGACAAACGAAAAATTAAATATTGAGGAGAAAGAGGTAAAGGAAACATTAAGGAAATTAAAAAATGAAAAGTCACCAGAAGATGACAGAATACCAAACGAACTCAAATTTTAGATTCCCCATGTCTCTTTTAACACCTCCATCAACGTCTGTTTTGCTTTGCAATTTTTAGAAAGCACAGATTAAAGCAGAAATCTGAATTGTGTTTCGAAACTATTTTACGGATTTATTATCAGATGTCGCTCTTGCGTCCATATCAAAGCCATTTTAGTGTTGCTTCTTAAAAGACAGAAAATATTAATCTTTTACGTTGAGAACACCTATGAATAACTGTTCCGATGAGACCTATTAGGTCGAAATACGTATCAACAGATACATAGGCGGTGTTTGCGTGAAATCAAATATTTGCTGTTTTTTCATTTTATTCGGATCTACTCTGTACGAGTACAAGAAACCAATTCGCTAGGGATTTCTGCTTAGTTGAAAAAACATGTCGTGGAATTCAAATTTTGGATTTTCCATGTCTCTTTTAACACCTTCATCAACGTCTGTTTTGCCTTGCAATTTTTAGAAAGCAAATATTAAAGCAGAAATCTGAATGTGTTTTAAAATTATTTTACGGATTTAATGTTTTTTTCTTGAAATTACAAGAAAAATACCTTTATTTTGATTTTTTTAAAGAGTCCTATAGGTGCTATAGAAGCGATACCACAGCTATTTTAAGTATTTCTTGAAAATACGGTAAAATTTCGATTAGTAAATTTAAAAAACCGCTTAAAAAGCGATGGGTACCCTCCATCCGGCCGATGGAATTTTGTTTTTCTTTACTTTTAAGCTATAAGAAACGAAAAAAAAAAATTGGTCTGAGGAGTGTGCCTTCCAATTTGAAAAAGTGTTTTTTGGCATCAAAAAAGGACGATTTTCTGTGGAATTCGACATATATCTCAAGATAGAAATATTTCACAGAAAGACGCACCAAGGGCACGTAACCTACAGAATTGTCATTTGCTTTGAACGAAAAAAATTAGAAGTAGTTTTGCTTGTACCTATATAAAGCGAATTACACAAAATTTTTTTTTGAAAGGTTCAAAAAAAAATAATATAATTTAGCTGATGTTTTAACTTGATTGTGTGATTGTTTATATATTACGTTTATACTATTCATAGACCATATACTAATTTAATGTATTTTTTAGCTAAATAAAAACTTTGATTTCGACTTGATCATGTTTGATTATTATATGCCACCAAACAAGGATCTATACTTAGAATATCTCAAGTGTAACGAAAAGTGGAGAAGTAAGTTTATCAGTTTTTAAAATATTAATTTTAAATAATAAATATAAATAAACTTTAAAATATAAATTATGTTTCAAAATGTCGGTTAAAAAACTTTAGTTTTATATATTTTTTAGTTTTATAATATTTTTCCATTTAGAAACATTCTCAACATTTTCGATTCAGAGCAATAGCATGATATGTCGTTCTGATCAGACCTAAAGAGGTCAAAATACGTATAAGCGGCTTACTGTGGCACTGCATTTAAATTAAAATCTAATGCCGTCATTATGTTTTATTTCTTTACTCTGTTTGAAGTACCAGAAACTGAATTCACTACGAATTTTGACCATGATGAACGGCATGTGGAATGCATATTTTAGATTTCCTTGCCGACTAATTGATCAATCTGTCTGCTTTACAATTGTTAGAAACACAGTGGTAAATATTTGAATTCGCTTTCGCCATTTAGGAAATCTTAAGATTCCTAGTGTTGTTTTTCCATTTAGCAGTATGAACCTCTTGTTTTACCTTGATGATCATGGTATTAGTTGGGTAGACATATTGAAATGACTGTAAAAAGCTTATAGAGTCTGTGAGTGTAATATAATTGGTATTATTGGATACGATGACAGCAAGGATGGCCTGGTATAGAGCGTATAGTCCAGCAAAGTAAATGGAATACTCTGAAGAAAGTTTGTATTTATTTGTGGATGTTGGGATTTTGACTGCAGCACCAGTACCTTCATTAAATTTAGATGCATCTAAGTATATATGTTTATAATTCTTGTAGTTGTGAAGCAAAGCATTGAAGGTGGATTTGATTAACTCTGGGTTTGTTGAATGTTTGTCGAAAGAAATAAGGCGGGTTAGGCTTTGAGGGCCATTTATTTTTTATGGAGGACTTGAGGACAATTAAGAGAAAAAGCGTTCTGGAAACGTGTAGTTTAATTGATTTAAGCAACTTCTAATCCTTGCGTAGAAGTGTTTGGCCGTTCTTGCAGAAATTTGGAAACTTTAAAGTAAAATAATTTTGAATATTAAGGTTTCTTAAATCATACCTAATTTTTGCGGCGTATGTTTGTTACACTTAAAATAGTTTTCTGTCTTCTAGGGACTGTTTACCAACTTCATTACTTTAGGTTGGTGTCGTGCGAAAAGCTTCAGATATTATACGTACTGAGAGATTGTGAAGACTGCTAAGTGTTTTTTAGCAGTGTCGTAGTGGCTGTAAAATACAGAGTAGATCCATAATCTAATTTGTATCTGATTAATATTTTATATAACATCAAAATTGTTTGGCGACCTGCACAATATTATTTATTGACAAGATAAGATCAAATTTGTTATACAAAGTTTTTGGCCTCAAGTTTCTTTAAATGCCATGCCCAAGAACTTTAATGACGTTACATGTTGAAGATTCCCATCACATAATCTTCTGTGGACATTTTTCCTAGAAAACAGGATGAAACGAGTTTTTTTCGGTGGAAAAATAGAAACCGTTTTTTGTAACCAGATTTCTAAGTGTTGTGTACATTTGTGTGTGTGACAAAGTATATTTTGTATATTTTTATCTTTACAAAAAATTACAAGATCAATTGCGAAGACTCGTGTCTTTGTAGGAAATTTTAGGTTTTTAATAATATTATTGATTCCCACAATGAGGAGGGTAGAACTTATAACCGTGCCTTAAGCAATGCTATTTTCTGGATACATTATATTTGATGTTGATATAATGTATCTAGATTTTATTTTATTTAGCGTATGGCTACATCACAGGTTCATATAAATATAAATATACAAATATAAATTATATAGATTACAAACAACAGTAAATATAAAAATATTATTCTACAAACAAACATCTAAATTATAAATATATTCGATTGACTCTTTTGTAGCAGCCAGGAAATCTGAAGGGTTGCCATTATAGGATCTAATCGGGCATTCCTCTACCATGTGTTTTACTGTTTGCTTTTTTCGGCGCCGCAGTCGCAATTTGGTGATTGTATTTTTCCCCATCTAAAAAGTGAGTCGGAACATCTGCCACAGTTCCTCCTTATTCTATTGAGTGTGGTCCAAATTCGTCTCGGTTGGTTGAAGCCCTCAGGTTTGCTTGTAATACATGGCATGTTCCAGTTAGCTGGTGCAGCGTTATTCTCCCATTGTTCTCTCCACCGTTCAGTTACATTAAAGTTTTGATCTACTAGCCTTTTTGCTGTTTGTAGAGGCGGGTGTCTTGAACGGAGCCTATTTATGTCTCTGGCGGAAGTTCCAACATGGGAGCGGAGCTCAGGATCAGTATTGATTTTTGTAAATTCTCTGACAAGGGCATGTTCCCGGCGGATATGTGGTGGGGCTATATGACTCAAAGCTGGTAACCAGTAAGTGGGCGTGGCCTTGATTGTGCCCGATATAGTTCGCATGGCTTGGTTAAGTTAGACATCAACACGGTGAGTATGTGGACTGTTTATCCATACTGGTGCACAGTATTCCGCTACGGGGTATACCAGTCCTAATGCTGTCGATCTAAGTGTGGGTGCTGAGGAGCCCCATGTAGTGCCGCAGAGCTTTTGCAGGATGTTGTTACGAGTTCGGAGTTTTGCAGCAGTCTTAGTAAGATGCTCTTTAAAGTTCAGCGTTCTGTCAAGTGTAACACCTAGGTATTTTGGGTGTTTATTATATTATTTAAGGAGTCTATCCCCAAAATTGATTTGAGGTTGTTAGTTGGCCATCTTGTTGTATAGATGGAAGCAGGACACTTCTGTCTTAGTTGGATTTTGTTGCAATCTCCATTTGCGGAAATGATTCCCTAGGGCATTTAAATCGTTTGTTAGAATGCGTTCAGTGACCTCGAATTCTTTATGACTTGCGGCAAGCGTCCAGTTGTCTGCGTATCCAAACTTTTTTGATGTGGTTTCTGGCATGTCTGCTATGTAGAGGCGCCAGACAATGTATCTAGAAATGTACTTGTAATATACATTTGACATAATGTACATCATGATACTATGACCAAGAAGATAAGATATTGCGCATAAGTCGTAACGTCATTGGAGAGTTACACGTTCGAAATGTCAGTTTTTTGTATGTATCAATAAATAATCTTTAATAAATAGTTTGCAGATATCCTTATGTGTACGATTATTGTAATTAATAAACCTCTTAACTTATTTTTATCTAGTAATTTCATCGCAGAATGCATACAAATCCCACTTAACTTTAATAAGAATTCAAATTTTACTCTCCAATGACGGCATGCGCAAACACGGCCGATTTTGTGCTACGGGAAGATCCTATCTTGTTATTCATAGTATTATGATGTACATAATGTATTTGTCCTAACTCTGAAAGTTCTATTAATTACTATTAAACTGGGAATAAGCCACAATTAAAGATAAAAATACGTTTATTGACGTTTCAATTTCCACTTCGGAAATCGTTCTCAAAATACAAACAGTAAATTAAACAAATTTTGTTTTTTGTTACATAGTGAAAAATTCTTCTAATAATTTAATTTTATCTGACTCATTTATATTGACAATTCAGACATACATTATGCATTTTAAAGTAGACGACTTTAAAATGATATTGCCAATATTGTTGAGTTGCGCTCCTGGGACGACTTTACTTATAAGATAGTTCATTCGATTACATGAAATCAACTTTAACTTGAGAATATCCGTCAGAAAAAAATCATAGCATGTAATTCGTCTTTAAAAAGACAAACACATGACATGATGACAGTAAAATTCTCCTGTTAGTGAATTCTATTAGTAAGTCAGTAACATATAGAGGATACATCATTTATGTTTTTTAAATAACGTAACATATAAAATCAGAATTTTGATGTTTTTTGAAGGTAAACTAAATTCACGAACAAATACTTACAATGCCGGGATAGTATTATGAGGTTTTTTCCTGGTTTTCCCTCATAATTGACTATGGAATCACTAACAGGAGAATTTTACTGTCATCATGTCATGGGTTTGTCTTTTTAAAGACGAATTACATGCTATGATTTTTTTCTGACGGATATTCTCAAGTTAAAGTTGATTTCATGTAATCGAATGAACTATCTTATAAGTAAAGTCGTCCCAGGAGCGCAACTCAACAATATTGGCAATATCATTTTAAAGTCGTCTACTTTAAAATGCATAATGTATGTCTGAATTGTCAATATAAATGAGTCAGATAAAATTAAATTATTAGAAGAATTTTTCACTATGTAACAAAAAACAAAATTTGTTTAATTTACTGTTTGTATTTTGAGAACGATTTCCGAAGTGGAAATTGAAACGTCAATAAACGTATTTTTATCTTTAATTGTGGCTTATTCCCAGTTTAATAGTAATTAATTTACAATGCCACAAGAAAATAGCTTCAGAACAATATCTGAAAGTTCTATTTTGAAAAAAGGTTTTAATGAAGAAGAGGCAGTACACTTAGATGTTCCACCTAAGTAATTTTTTATTATATAATTGTGCCAGGCTGTGTCGAAAGCTCTTGATATGTCAAAGAAAACCGCCTGACTTCTCCTCCTTATTGCGAATGCTTCAGAAATGTCACTTGTCAAATCTATGATATTATCTATGGTTGATATTTGCTCTCTAAAATCACTTTGTTCTGAAATAATCAAATCTTGTCCTTTTTAAGGTGCTATCTTATTAGCTTTTTGCCAGTAACATAGCGTATGTTAAAGATATTGGTTGGTATGACTCGGGACTTAATACTATTAGGTTTTTGTATAGATATTATTGTAGATTCATGCCAGTTTTCAGAAAATTGTTGCTGTAGTGAAATAATATTAGACATATTTAGAAGTTATTGTTGAGCGCTAACTGAAAGGTGCTTTATTAAAATACTAGGAATATCGTTCGAGTCAGCGCTAGCTTCTTTGAGAATTGATAATGCTTCCGTATACTCTAATTGAGAAATGGGTAAATTTAAAGGTGTATCTGTGTTAGCTAAATTGCTAATTTTTGGTTTTCGTCTTGCTGTTTGTAATTAATAAAAGTTTTTTA